ACAATTCTTTTTCTTTCCTCGACGTTGCGCGCTACGTTCAAATCACGCGCCACAAATAGAAAGAGCGTATTAAAGCACGAGACAACGAGAGCATTATAATAAAATTATCCCAGTTTCAATGTCAATCGATGACAGTGAAAGACGCTTGTAACATAGCTAAAGAAACACGTTAAGAGTCGCATGCTAATCGAACTAGCAACATACTAGATAAAAATTACTCGTCACGATGATGTAAGCTCAGATGTCAAGGTTAGGTTCGTTATAACCAAAGCCAATGCGGTTTACGCTACCTATTAACCGTCCACCTACCGTGAAACGTGATTACACCATGCTATAAAATACGCTTAATCCATTCGTCGAGTTTCCAATTTTCCCTCGCTTCTTGTTTTTCCACATTCTACTTGTTACATAATTCAAAAAAAAAAAAAATAACGAAAAGAGGAGAATAATAATTACTAAACTTTTATGCGATATATTTTTTTCATATTACGCGCGTATTTGATATTTTGACATAGACTTTTCCCCCCCGATGTTAATTTTATTTGTACGATGATTGAATAAATAAAATTTAATTCCGTATTTCGAATGTGAAACTGGTTTATTACATAACCATCAATTGAACTTGTTTTAATTGTAAAAAAAAAATCAACTAGTGTAATAATTATAAACCGAATTAAAAGAGTTCTTTCAATTAACGGGAAACTCGTTTTTGACTTTTTTCGAAAAGAGTTTTATCGAAACATGATTTCGAAGCTTCGTTTATTATTCGCGTTTAGAGAAATATTTAAATGCACGTATCGATTGAATTATCACGAATGTGAACGCGACTATGTTGGATAATTGAATTAATTTCGATGATATATGAAATATAAATTGAAAATTCGCTTTGGAAGGAATCGGCCCTAACGAGTGGCTAGAGTTGGGAAAAACTTGTCGGTTATAGAAATTTGTTTGATCGTCCTTCTGTTGGAGTAATACAATTATTTTTCTAGACGAAATAATTATAAGAAAAATTGATTTTTCTTTATTCGTTTATTCTTTTAATTTAACATAACATTTTGTAATATCACGATACTCATGTATATTCAAAAAAAAAAAAAAAATTGGATTCTCGAATGAAAATTATTGCAGTTGGATCAAACCTTAACGTTCCACGCATCTTCGTTCTAAGTTACGCATGAATAATAAAGCTCAAGTACGAACGAAATTTTTCATGTAGAAACTTCGCGAGGAAAGTCTGTCAGAAATTTTTAACTTTTCTCCCCTCGACGTTTCCGACTATTTTACACACTGTTTTCCCCACCTTTTTCATCGCTACGTGTAAGTAACAGGAAAAACGTAGAGGAGGGGGGAAAAAAAAACGTCAGAATGAAAAGGTATTGCTATTGCTTTCGAACGAGAAATGAATAACGTTTGAATTGTCGATTCAGAAAAAAAGCTCAAACTCGAATGAGGAAAATACATGTGAACGTTTGCTATTCGACTACGTTCTGATCTTCATCAGAATTCAATAATAACATTGACAATTATTTCGTTTCATAACAATTCGATTCAATAAAATCTCATTTAAAAAATCGTGTAATTTTTACTTCGTTCGTTGGGAATTCGTTTTACAATTTTTAAAACGAATTAACGAAAGGTGTTTTCATCAAAAATTCGTTTCTCGGAGCAATTCTTTGCTCTTTGATCAAGATAAATTATTTTAAATGAGAATCGTGTATCTTTCAACGACTTCCAAGGGACTTAAATACTCCCATTATACATTTATTGATTCAATAAATATTTCAAATTCGAAAGTCCATCGAACGAATGCACTTTTGTTCCTTTTAAATTTCATACTTGTACAAATATCAAAATGACATTTCAAATTAAAGTTAAAAAACACTGATCCATTGCATTCTGATTTTTTTTTTTTAATGCTTCATAAACATCACACTTGAAACGTGCTGCTAAAATTCTTTTTCGAATATTAATACAAGAAAGAGAGAGAGAGAGAGAGAGAGAGAGAGAGAGAGAGAGAGAGAGAGAGAGAAGAGAGAGAGAGAGAGAGAGAGAGA